ACAGTTCTTGTTGCCCCTTTAAAATATAAATGGAATAGTAGCAGGTACTAGTCATATTTAAACGAATTGCCCATAAAGTAGTAGATTAATACGGAAGCCGGCAGCCGAAAGTTGCGTTCCCGAATACAAGCTTAGTTGGGCCCCTATAGGTTTAACTGTTTGTCGTCTGTGCATCTTACTGCGCTTGTATTCGCGAATGCATATAACGGCTATCGGCTATCGGGCCAACCTACTGTTTTAAGAACAACTAATTTAAATATGAATTATACCTACCCTATAATTATACCATTTATATCTAAATGAGTTGCCAATGAAATAGTAGGTTTATCCGGTAGCCAACAACCGTTAGTTGCATTCACGAGTACAAGCTTAGTTTCATTGTGATCATATTAAAACTGTAAAAATGATAAAAGGAAGTCAATAAGTTGTTGATTTTCAAAATTTGGCAGACTATCTACTTCATTTGCTGGTTAAGTTCTTTATTTATTAGTACTCCTTCACTTTCCGACTTTCATATAGAACAAAATTTAATTTTCAATCCAAAAAAACTATAAATCCTAACTAAACATAATTCTTACTACTATAGCATTAATAAATAATCCTTTGAAATTATTCCCTGACAAAACATGGGCTCTGGATTTCTGATCCACTGTGATCGCAGTGTAGATTGTCTGAAATGATTAATAACATTAAAGGATGTTACTTTATTAATCATGATAAACATCCGTGTAGGTCGGATTGCCCGATTGTTTTTTAATATGCATCCTGCATTATACTTTACATTGCTGTGTTTCAAGTCAATGTGTCCAAAGATTTACCACAAAATGATTTAACTTGTTTCATCAATAAGATAAATCACATGATTGCTTTTGGGAGGGTTCGCGTTGTTGGAAGTCTAGGAGACCTGATTATACAGAATAAAACTACGCAGAACATAAGTTTGAAGATGATGGCGATTTTATAATTGTATTTCCTGTGTACTCCACGAAAATACTCTACGCGTTTCCACTCCCTGAAGTATACAAAACTATATTTTGTTTATTTAATACATAGTGTAAGTATAGTGTTGGTATATCAGAAGCAATTTTCTTGTAAATTTTTGAGATCGAGACAATGGATGAAAAAAAGAAAATTAGCTCATGGGGATATCATTTGAACTATCGCGTGACACAATAAAAATGACACCCATCCACACTGTTTCATAACTTTTTGTCTGAAGAAATTCTGACTTTTTTGGCACATTATAACTACACTCCATTTTGCAACTCCACAAGAAGTTTCAGATGACAAGCTTACCTAAATGCACATTTATGAGCGTTACAAATATGTCGTCTATTCGTTTGCTGGCACAACTGGACGACACACACCTTTTGTAACATAATTTTGGCAATAGGTTATAATGATTTATCAACGACAACTAAATCATTATGTGTTAAATTAAATGGACTTCATTCCTTGGAAGTACAAGGCAAAATCAATAGTATCTACAAAGTTAAGCTTCACACTGGAATTTTTGGAAGAGCTTTCACATTGTGTCTATTTTAAATTTGCTAAAGGACAACTCTTATAGACAAACAAATTATGCAACTTTCGTGTCGCACTGTATTTTAAATAGCAAATGCCTAACAACGGTCCTAACGTTTTAAGAGCGGTTGGTACGAATCAGATATTTGAATAGGAAATGGTTTCTAAGTCAATGTGGAATCTTACCATTAGGAAATCATAAAAACGGCAGCTACGACTCCTGAAACAAATTACTTAATGCTGTGTAGGCGCATTATAGTGGAACGGTATTTTAACGCCATTTTGTCACATGGCATTTGCCAGCGCCCAATATCGGTTTGGCATAACATGGGTGGCGGCCTTGCCATCATGGCTATTCTTGTCTTACCAAATATAATTAACCCTATATCTAACGCTACTTTGTCACATGGCATGTGCCAGCGCCCAATATCGGTTTGGTATAACATGGGTGGCGGTCTTGCCATCATGGCTATTCTTGTCTTACCAAATATAATTAACGCTATATCTCACGCTACTTTGTCACATGGCATGTGCCAGCGCCCAATATCGGTTTGGTATAACATAGGTGGCGGCCTTGCCATCATGGCTATTCTTGTCTTACCAAATATATTTAGAGCGGAACCAACATACATCCGCAGTCCGCACAACCAACGCAATAATCCATAAAACACAATTCAGCACATTTGATCATGTGGATAGTATACTCACTGGCGGATCCAGGGGTTTGGCATTGGGCCCAAAAATAAAAGGGGGCCCAAAGTTTAATGGGCCTTTTGGGCATTATTTGGGTTAATATGAGCCCAAAAATGTTTTGGAAATTGTTTCCAGACTTGATATGTGCCCCCTCCTTGTAAGCTTCTGGATCCACCAATGATACTGATATACACAAGAGAATTCTCTCATATGGGGAATGTTTGACTGAGATAAGTCTCATTGAGGTATTCTTCTGTTCCCATTGTAGGATGATACTGACGATGGTTTATTGCGAAGACGTTTTTAAGTGTAATTGCATACGTTCTAATATCCTGGCTTATTGTCCATGAGCTAGTAGTCAATGAAATATTTATACACAAAAATAATTTGTTAAGGAGTATCATTTTGGAATTTCGGAATTTAAAGGAAACCGTGCTTCAATTGAATCCTGATATCATTCATATGCTGTCCAATTTTTCAACAGGTTTTGCAATTACAGTATCTCATCAATTACCCTGCGCGCAGTCTAGTGAAGACGAAGCTCTCTTTTAAGGAGTAAAGTTGAATGCGGGTAGTCATCAACAACATGAAAACAAGACACAGTTATCAAACAAATAATGCGTTTTTATTCTTTATTTATTTTTCATAATTGTCTATCAGTGGATAAATTAAATATACACTTTTACTCCAATATACGCTATCAACAATAGCTATAATTATAACCCCCGCTCACTTTAATATGGATGATGACGATTGTTTTTTGACCTAAACATGTCAATTAATGCCTTGGTCACATAGGCTCCGATTTTCACTACGGCGCCCGGCCGATGAGTATTTTGTTTGAAATCGGCCGGCGAGCCCGGGCATCGTACGGGCGCCGGGCGATGATCGCCACTCATCGGCCGATTTTTAGACATCGTACGGGCGCCGGCAGAGTTTTATCGCGGAGATAAAAGTTGCCGATGTCTTGGCGATTTTTTCTCAACCAAACTCATCGGTACCTACCCGGCCGTGTCCCGCCCGGTCATCGTACGATTATCTTACGGCGCCCGGTGGCATCGCACGGTCATCTTGGGATTTTGCGTGCTGATTTGTTTGATAAATCTTAATAATGATTACTTATAAAGTGATATAAAGGTATTAAAAAGAATGAGGTAAGGAATCATAATTATTACACACTGTCAGAGATTTTTTATAAAACATAAATGGAACGATTAGGCTTACTGTAAAATAATGACACACATTTGAATGGCTTGGTGGGTGGGTCGATCTAGTCGTTCTTATATTGACATTAATCGTATATGTCTGCCATACACATTGAATAGAGTGATACATTTTTATGCGTATATTCACTCATGCATATACTATTACAAATCATTTATTTTAAAAATCTTCTGAATGTTTTTGTGAGTACAGTATTTTCAAGGGTCACAATTTTAATACGAAAGTTCACTGTCTCAATAACAGTTAATACGCCAAAGGCTTTAGGATAGAGGGGATAAGGCCAATGGGCCATATATGAGGAAGGCCTTCGGAAGACAGGTGGGAAAAGACAATAACAATGCTAGTGAGCTGGTGGATGATAAAGATTTAGATGTGTCTAGGGAAGAGGGTAAGGGAACATGGGGCAAAACGGCCCTAAAAATTTAGTTTTAAGTTGTTCTGTACGGGATATTTTCTCATCTGTCAATCATCGCGCACTTTGATGTTCCACTTTAATCTGTTTAATGGTTTGTGGTTTACATTTTTGGAGTGTTTTATACTTGCCTAGGACTATCTTCTGTGATTTTTCAATGGTCAAAAATATTGTCGAAAGTGGGGCAAAACGGCCCATGGGTGGGGCAAAACGGCCCACCCTCAGTTACATGGGTTTAAAACCAAAATTAATCAATTACAAGACTCATCCACACACATCTTATCTCAGACGTTCAAACCTTTGACAGATGAAGTATTCTTAACCCCTACCATAATTCTAGTCATTCGATATGTGTCGGAAGGAAATAAGGTACAAACCAAATGTTAAAATCGTTATGTTTGAAAATCAAATGTTCTTGTACAATAAGATTTTGTATATTATAACATATGTGGGCCGCTTTGCCCCAAAGACATGTGAATTTTCAAATAGACGTCATTTTAATTTACCTAATATTTGAAGCTCGAAATTTTTACAAATAAAGAATAAATATGCAATCTATATGTAAAATGTTAAACCAAAACCATATTCTATTGTTGCCGGATTTTATAGAGATACTCGTGGGAGGGGTAATTTGCAAAAAAAGAGAGTGAAAAGTAGAATTACCTCTTACGTAAAGCGAGACGCTGCTTGGTTAAAAATGGGGGGTGAAAAAGGTGGCGGAAATTTTAAAATTCGATTATGTGACTTTTGAAGAACCATCTTTTTATAGTTCAAAAGATATTTCGATGGGCCCCTTTGCCCCAGGGGGCCGTTTTGTCCCATGTTCCCTTACTCCACTTGAAATAGAAGAAAAAATTGCCAATTTCTTTGAAGCCATATTTTTATGACCAAACAAATTCTCTTTACGAGAACAGACAAAAGAAAGATGCAGAAATAGGGAATTTTGCTAATAGCATCGGATGGACAGGGAGTAGACATACGAGTACACTCCCCTCCATAAGTTTGGCAACCTTTTTTCCCCCATTGAACTACGTGTTAAAGCCTCTTTACCTTTGAATTTTTATTTACTTACTATAGTAGCTTAGTGTAAAGTGTAAAGTCACACAATTTTTGCTCCAGACAAATTTACAAAAATCTCAAGAAGGACGCAAAGTCTGATCACATACTTTTGCAGAGACATTCATGAACATATTGAGAACGCATAGAGAAACTTTTAAAGAATAAACTTTAGTACCAAAAGAGTTTTTAGCACAAACTTTTCTGGATATTTTGAGAAAGTTCAGAACTAATAGTACAGGCTGATAAACACTTGGATTAATTGGCTTCAGTCAGTAGGCTAAGCTCATAAGGACAACCTTGCAGTAGACCAGTAATTGGCTTGATATGGCTACTAATATTGCTTCAGAGTCTGATTCTCCAACTGTAAGCCAACTATTGGGCTCACAGTCACCAACACAATCAGAACAAGGTGACATTTCAATGACCTCTGGCCTCACTACATCAGTCAATCTGATCCAAGAAACACAACTGGAATCTGAAGATGAGAGGGAGGGGGAAACTAGCAGTGTTGATGCTAGTGCCATACGAACTCTGAGACCACGTGCTATTATATCTAAGACCCCAAAAACCAAAGGGAGACCAAAGAAGTCACTTACAACAAAGAATGATGTAACAGCAGTCCTTAAAGCACTATCCACCATGCAGTCTAGTATAGATACAACAAATAAGCTGATGCAGGGCCTACAAAAGACTAATGCGGACTTGGTCAGTCAGCTAGCTATGAAAACAGCACAATGTTGCGAACTAGACAAAGAATGCCGAGAGTTACGCTCACAGCTGTCAAAAACTCATAGCACTGAGTCTGGATTACCAAAGACACTGGTTATCGGAAGCTCAATTATTCGAGACTTTGATACAAATAAACTGCATAACACAGAAGTTGAATGCATTCGAGGTGGAACAGTGGACGATGTACATAAATCACTGACGGACAATAATGCTTCATATGACAGGGTCATTCTCCAAGTAGGTAGCAACGACTGCAGCAAAGATAACACCCCAGAAGATATCGCTAAACAATACCAGCTGCTTATCAAAGGAGCCAAAAACATTGCTAATGAAGTAGTTGTGTCTAGTATATGCCCTCGCACAGATAAACCAGCAGCCCAAGAAAAGGTTGACACTGTCAATGCCACACTACAAGGCATCTGCTCTGATGAAGATGCAAGTGTCACTTTCATAAACAATGACCTCTCGTTTAAGCTCCAAGACAATTCCATTAATGATGGGTTTTTACATGGTGATGGCCTCCACTTATCGAAACCAGGAACAAACCGATTGGCTATCAATATGAAGCTCAAAACGAAAGGCAAGGACATTACCAAACCGTACTATAACCGTAACAAGAATGCCTTCAACAAACAGAATCAACAGAACCAAGATAATAATAACAATAATGATGACCTCAATCATGGAACCAATGACTGGACAACAGTGAACAAGAAACATAGAAATAACGCTCGCCAATCTCCCAATAATCAAACAGATGCGACAACTCACGAACAATCTAAACCTCAACAAGGACACTCCTTAAGATGCATCAAATGTGGGGAGGCCAGCCACCTCACTAGCTCATGTTGGCACCCTGCCACCGTACGTTGCCGTGGGTGCAATCAGCTTGGACACAAAGTCTCAAGATGTCCTGCAAACAGGATGGTGGACCAAGGGCACCAAGATTTCAACCGGTTCTAGATTCTTGGTGAAGTTATCGCCCCATCCCCACAATGCAAAGATAATGTCCCTAGATCACACACAAAGCCTCGTAAATTACATAAACGTTCACGAAGGGGTGCACACAAACGCAAGAACAATGCCAATTTTCCTTTAAGTATCGCATTCAACAATGTAGAATACTTAGGATTAGCAAAACAACACGAGCTTGATAATCTTCTGTCAATGAAACAGTTTGACATTGTAGGAGTGTGTGAAACATTTTTCAAAGACTCGAATACCCCTACTGTCAGTAATAAGGAATATGAATGGTTTGGTAAGAACAGAGTCAATAGATCTGGTGGTGGTGTTGGTTTTTTCATAAAAAGAGATAAAGTTACTATTTTAAAAGAAAACCACTTAGATTCACTTAATGATGAATTTGAAAGATATTGGTTAAAGGTAAAGATAGTCAATGTAATTCTTAATGTTGGAGTTGCATACTTTCCAAATGATGGGAAGAATCCTGCTCTTACAGAAGCCCTTACTGAGGAACTAATCAAAGACATTTCTCAATTTGATAATAGCAACGAATGTACCCTCCTTATGGGTGACTTTAATGGACGCATAAAAGTATTCAATAGTGGTCAAAGCAGTCACAATGGTAAATTCATAGAAGTCCTCAGTGAGGCAACCAATTGTACTATACTTAATTTAACTGAAGAATGTGAAGGTGAGGTAACATGGGCCCGCAACAACCAGTCATCCACACTTGATTATATTTTGGTCAATGACAGATTTATGAGTATTTATGATAAAATGGTTATTCATGAAAATCACGATGTGTCTATTGGCAGCAGCCACGCTTTTCTTGTTGTTGAAGGCTCTTGTTGCGGGTCAGATTCTAAATCCAAATCTAAAAATAAAATGTCAAATGAAGTAATTAAAACACCAAGTTGGAAAATCTCAGAAAATACAGACTGGACAAAGTTCCAGCAACTTATAACAAAACAATTTAATTCCTGGGATATTTCATTATACTCTAATATTGAGGAAGCATGGGCAGTTTGGAAGGGTAAAGTCAAAGAGGCAGCCTATGGGTCCGTGGGAACTAAGGTAATCTCCCCCAACTATGTATCATTCTGGAATGAAGAAATCAAACAATTAATCAAAAATAGAAGGGAAGCATGTCGTTTCTTTAGGTATTGGAAACGCGCCAAAACATGCGACCCCAATGTGCTGCAAGAAATGTGGGATTTATATATTCAAAGAAAAGAGCAAGTTCGTGATAAGATTAAACAAGTACACATTCAAAACCATATTAAGACTATCACAAAGAATGCCTCAAAGAAATCTAATTCAAAATCTTTTTGGAAAACATTAAAAATGTTCAATGCAAAAGCAGGACACCCAATACAAATAAAAGACCCAGATGACCCAAAATGTATAATAACTGACCCTCGGAAAGTATCTCAGTCAATTGCTAAATACTGGAAAAATGTTGGTCCCAACAATGTAAATGATCGTTCAGTAAAAACAGACTTGTCTCAGCAACTTAGAGAGCTTCATATGTCATCTACATTTTCAGACAATGCTTTATTTGATGTTACATTTGATGAAGGTGAAGTTTCCGAATGTATCAAAGGGTTAAGTAATGGTAAAGCATGTGGAACAGATCAAATTCCAAATGAATTTCTGAAGCAAGGGGGGCCTATTATAATTAAATCAATATCTGAAATATTTTATCAAGTGAAGATCAGAGAACAAAAAGAATGGAAAGAAGGTCTTTTATTTCCCATTCACAAGAATTCAGATAAGGAAATACTTGACAACTATAGAGGCATAACAATAAACTCTAACATTTACAAGCTTTTCACCTCTATTATGGAATCTAAGATCTTGAAGTTTTTCGAAGTTAATAACGTTTTGGGTGACTTGCAAGGCGCCTTTAGATCAGGTTTGAGATTAGAAAATCATATTTTTGCCCTCAAAGGTATCTGTAGCATGAGGAAAAACAACAACCTTAAGACCTATTTATCTTTTTTGGACATCTCTAAAGCCTTCGACGTGGTCAACAGGGACCTTTTATTTTTACGATTATGGGAAAAGGGGATTCAAGGCAAAGTCTGGCGCATTTTGAGGGAATTATATGTGGGAGTTAAAAGCAAAGTGATTTTTGGAACAATTTCAACAGAGTGGGAAGAGTGCAACCCTGTCTACAGCCTAAAACAGGGTTGCTGCCTCTCCCCGACTCTGTTTTCCCTTGTTATGAGCGACCTTGTTGAAATGTTCAACAATGAAGATATAGGGTTACCTTTTGAAAATGAAAAGGTCCCAGTTCTTATGTTCGCCGATGATGTTGTTTTACTTGCCGAAAATGAATCTACAATGAACAGAATGTTAAAAATTGCTGACATCTTTTCTATTAAATGGGGGTTCAATTTTAGCCCTAAAAAATCAAAGGTTATGGTCATTGGGAAAAGAATTGACAAAAATAAAAAATGGATCTTAGGCAGCCATGAATTATTTGAGGTTAAAAGTTATAAGTATCTAGGGATATATTTTGATCGGTCTCTAAAAGACTCTGGCCACATTGACTTCCTTGCTGAAAAATCTAAACGAATTCAAGGTATGATAGTCTCCACTTTGACAAAACACTGTAATGTCATGCGTCTCAAATTTGGGGAGAAAATGTACAACTCAATGTTTGTCCCTGCCATTCTTCATGGCTGTCCTATATTCATGTTAAACAAAACTAACACGGATAAAATGAAATCAATGCAATATAATATTGGGAGATCAATTCTCCAAATTAGGTGTTGCCCAGCCAGAGAAGCACTTTTAGGTGATTTAGGCTGGAGACCTCTTGTTGATGTCATTGAAAAAAGGCAAATAGATTACTTTATATATCTAAAATGTAATATCAAAGAAGGGTCATTACACAAAAAGATATTTAATTCTATGTATGATGGCTTCTGTGCTAATGATGAAAGCAAAGCATTCCCTTACTTTTCAAACATAAAATCCATCCTAACAAAATATGGACTGGATGATGTTATCTACAGAGATGATATTGACTGGTATCAGGCCCTTATCAAAATATCAGATCAAGAAAGGCTTAATAATTTTAAATCTGCATTGAATGAAAAGTCTTCACTCTCACTGTATCGATGTCTAAATCCCCATCCCTTCTTAAAAAACTACCTGACCACAGATTTTGACTTCTATGGGCAAAAATTAAAGTTCAAAGCTAGATCAGGGTGTTTTGGCTTACAAACAGAATACGAAAAATGGGGACAGGGAAATGGAATATGTACGTTATGTGATAAAAATGTAAAAGACACCATCCAACATAGACTTTTTGTTTGCCCTTTCTTTGGTAATGATAGAAATACTTTTTATAAAAATGTTATTGAAAAATGTAATCCAGCACTATCGTCGGGTCTTCTATCAGCCAGTGTGCAAATTAAAACATGTTGGGCCTTAGGTGAGGACATTTTTACATTGTGGGGACAAGAAGAAGCTTTTAAGTTTGATAAATGTGTAAAGGGTCTTTTAAAATGTGTATATAAACCCCAGACCCAATAACATGTTTTAGTTTCTTATATATAATGCCTGTAAACTGATATATGCTTTTAAATGTTTTGCCAATGTCTGGAAGAACCATTTGTGTTCCGCTGTAATAAAAGCGTTTCCAATAAATAAATAAAAAAAAAAAAAAAAAAAAAAAAAAAAAAAAAATACTTAACCTGCAATGAAAATACTTAAACTATTGATGGGAACGTGATTTGACCTTAATTCCAATACCTCCAAATTTTCTCAATTTTTTTCCTCAATTACAATAGGTCGAAAATTGATGATAGATTTGATGATTTTTGAAAATCGACATTCCCATGTTAACCAATGAGAAATGGTAGGTTTGCCGAAAGTCATATGACAGAATATCCATCCATCCGAGTCCTTGCAAAAAATACGAGTTAGGCAGGCAATTGAATTTGCTAGCTTTATTTAACAAAAAATTGATATGTTTCTTCAGGTTCAACAAAGTTATAGGGCTTTAAAGTCAAAATTGTTTTTCAAAAAACCTCTCCCATTGAAATAACAAAGGAGGCGAAAAATTATTTTCAAAAATGACTTTGAAACGCTGTAACTTTAATATTCATCAAATAAACTAAACACTTAGTAATCAAAAAAGTTAGACAATTCAATTTTCTATATAAAAATATTTTTTGCTGAATCTTTTACTGAAAATATATCCTGATTTTTGATTTGCCCCGAACCCTCCATTTCCCATTGGATTACATGGGAATGACGATTTTCAAAAATTCATCAAATTTATCATCAATTTTCGACCTATTGTAATTCAGGAAAAAATTGAGAAAATTTGGAGGTATTGGAAATAAAGTCAAGTTACGTTTCCATCAATATTATAAGCTATTTCATCACCGGTTAAGTAAATAAAAATTCAAATGTAAAGAGGCTTTAACACGTAGTTCAATGGGGAAAAAAGGTTGCCAAACTTATGGAGGGGAGTGTAGTATTTGTTTATATGAAAGATCTAAAAATGAATTAAGGTCAGGGTGCACTTTGATGAAAAGACCACGTGCAGTATGGCAAGTGATTTCAGACGGTCATATCTTTCACCATGAGAGCTTCTGGGCATAAATACAGTGTTTTTATGAAAACAATATGTTTTCTTTCAATTGAAGTACCCATGATAGTAAAAATATCAATTAAACAATCAAATTATGAATAGGGACCCCATGTCAGCTTTTTTTCTAAATATTGAACCTATTTACTGAAAAGAGGATCTTCTTTTTCTGATTTTTATTGCATGAAAACATTATTATCCTGGAAGTCCTGTCTATCGAAGTATTTAGTTTTCAAATCTTGCATTCATGCCATGTGGAACAGTCATACTGGGTCATACAAGAATTTAGTATAAATCTAGAGGCCTGTAGATCGACCGATGTCCTGGTGGGTGCCGTACGGCCATCGGCAGATAGCCTTGCGATACCCGTGCGATGTCTTTTAGATTCAATTGATTGCGGGCGCCGTACGATGCCTGTACTAAAGTGACCATACTCACGATTAGATCAAGACATCGGTGAAAAGTCACCGGCGCCCGGTCGATTTAGAAATCGGCCGATGACTACTCATCGGCCGGCGCCCGGTGGCTATGTGACCTAGGCATAACTTCGATTACTTTTAAGCTCAAAAGTCTGGGTCAAAATCTAGATATGACGTGCACGGACCTGGGGACAATTCGGAAAATACGGGCTGATTTCAGCTTTGAGCGTTAATCTCTGCCTATTTAAAAAGCTAGCTATGTGTTTTATATATCATTTTGACGTATTTTTTATTCGCATTTCAGTGAAATTATTTTTTCTTCAAAATTTTGATGGGATCCAACATATTTTTAAAGTTAAATATATCCCGACATCGTCAA